TGATCTATTAAAAGAATTTGATTCTTCATAAATTATTGAATGCGACAATTAAGAATCATCTGTTTTTAGCATCCTTAGTCCCATCACTAGATTCTATGGATTTAATACAATACAGTACGCTTTACATCTATATAAAGAAAAAAGTGTACTGTACCAACGTTAAATGTGAGTACAGTACAGTACATATTGAGGTAATATACAGTCTATAGTACGGTAACAAACAACGAGCAATAAAATTTAAGCGATAACCAAAGCACTTAACAGAACTACAATATCAAATACTAAAAATCAAATCACTACATAATATAACCTTTATCAACTTTACCATTAAATACACACGTTACGTTATACTTCACATACCATATAAATATCTAATTTAAACTTCTAAAAAAATCAAAAAAAAAACTTAATCTCAATACTAAAGCATGGTGGCGAAGCCGCCTACATGTGCTACGTTAGTTATATATTAAAATTCTGCAAGGAATATTTTTTATTAAGACATTTCATAGACATAATTTTGATTTAAAAATATTGAGGTTTTTTTGTAACTTTCGGTGACAAATAAACTCGATCAAATTTTACTATCGCTATAGATAATCGTGACCGTTACGCAAAAATTGTTTATTATTCAGAAATTTTGTGCTATTTCCTACATCGCACGAATTTCGAAAAGAAGCATTGTGGTGCTAATAATATATTATTTTGGATTGTGTAATGTGTACGTAGAGATACATTTAATTAAAAGTGAAAAAATTTTTATAATTTTCACGGAATAGTTATTTCTGGAATTACAATTAATTTACAAACCGAAAAAAAAGGTAAACCCAAAAATAAAACGAAAAAGAAACCAATAAAGTTTTATTTTTTTTTGTAAAAAGAGTTGGAGCAAATACAAACTATATAAATAAAAAAATTTTTTTTTTGTTACACACCTTTAACATGAGTCAAACAAGCACCGAGCTTCACGAACTCGGATGGAAATGTCATAACGGCATCGGGGTTAAAAAGGATGAACGCAAGGCATTTGAATACTACCAAAAATCAGCTGAAATGGGTTATTCCGTTGCAATGAACGATGTTGGTTGTTGTTATCAAAATGGATTCGGAGTTGAAAAGGATGAACATAAGGCATTCTTTTATTATCAAAAATCTGCTGAGATGGGTGATGCCGTTGCAATATACAATGTTGGAAATTGTTATCGAAAAGGAATTGGAGTTGAAAAGGATGAACATAAGGCATTTGAATATTATCAAAAATCTGCTGAAATGGGTTATGCAATTGCAATAAACGATGTCGGTGGTTGTTATCAAAATGAAGTCGGAGTTGAAAAGGATGAACATGAGGCATTCTTTTATTATCAAAAATCTGCTGAAATGGGTTATGCCGTTGCAATTTACAATGTTGGAAATTGTTATCAAAATGGAGTCGGAGTTGAAAAGGATGAATATAAGGCATTTTTTTATTATCAAAAATCTGCTGAAATGGGTTATAACGTTGCAATAAACAATGTTGGATATTGTTATCTAAATGGTGTCGGAATTGAAAAGGATGAACATAAGGCATTCTTTTATTATCAAAAATCTGCTGAAATGGGTTATGCCGTTGCAATTGACAATGTTGGAAATTGTTATCAAAATGGAGTCGGAGTTGAAAAGGATGAACATAAGGCATTCCTTTATTATCAAAAATCTGCTGAAATGGGTTATGCCGTTGCAATTAACAATGTTGGACATTGTTATCAAAATGGATTCGGAGTTGAAAAGGATGAACATAAAGCATTCTTTTATTATCAAAAATCTGCCGAGATGGGTGACGCTGGAGGAACATGTTGTGTTGGGGAATGTTATTTTAATGGAATTGGAGTTGAAAAGGATGGACATAAGGCATCCTTTTATTATCAAAAATCTGCAGAGATGGGGTCCACTATTGGTATGAATAATCTTGGTGGTTGTTATCGTTTCGGAATAGGAGTTATAAAAGATGAACGTAAAGCGTTTGAATGTTATAAAAAAGCCGCTAATATGAATGATTTTAGGGGAATAGTTAATATTAGTGATTGTTACCGGAATGGAATTGGAGTATAAAGAGATATTCAAAGAGCTAATCATTGGTATCGAAAAGCAAGAAGTCTTAAAAAAATAAATAAAAATTCGTATGAAGGAATCGATAATGGTGTTAAAGAGATCTTAAACAATGAAAAATATAAATTATCGTGGATTAATTACGATGAATTCAAATTTATTGGAGGAATAGGAAAAGGTGGATTTGCTACAGTATTTCACGCACATTGGTATAATAAAACTGATAATATTTATTTGGATGTTGCACTTAAACACATTCACAATTCAAATAAACTTGCTCAAGATTTCACTCGTGAATTGAAGTATTATTGTGATATAGGTTATGAAAATCCATCATTTTTAGGATGTTATGGAGTGTCAAGAGACGATAAGACTAAAAATTATATTATTGTTTTGGAATATGCAGAAAAAGGTTCATTACGTCAGAATCTCGAAACTGTATCTCAATTGGAATGGAGAGATAAATTAAATATATTATATTGTATCGCTTCAGATCTTGAAGCAATTCATTCTCAAGAATTAATTCATCGAGATTTGCATTCTGGTAATATTTTGCAAGCCAATTTGCAAAGTGCATACATCACTGATTTAGGACTTTCTGCATCATCTGATATTAAACAAGAAGGTGAGATCAGTGGTATTATGCCGTACACAGCGCCAGAGGTCTTAAAAGGAGAACCATTCACTCAATCGGCGGATATTTACAGCCTCGGTATAATTATGACGGAGTTAGCAACAGGAAAGAGAGCGTTTGATGGTGAGTCTTTTAATATTAAACTTTCAGTGAGAATTTGTCGAGGAGAACGACCTGGACTCGGTGAGGAAACACCAGAGTGCTATGTAAAATTGGCCAAAAGATGCATGAATCCTGATCCAAATAAACGACCAACGGCAACAGATATTTGTCACAGAGTTGGATATTGGCTTGACGAGATGAAACAAGATGATGATAATGAAGTTAAGAAGCAATTTTTTGAAGCAGATAAGATCAAACCAGAATTATTATCACTGATTCACCCAAATGATGAGTACAGGAGTAAATCGATAAGCACCAAAAATATAACGAAAGCGTTAAAATCAGAAACTTAAGATATAAATTCACAATACCATCTTTATAAGGTCACTGAAGAGATCAACCATTTGAGTTTGTCGAGATCATTGTTTTATGAAATGAAGATTCAAGTTTATTTTATAATTTTTATCATTAGTTTTTATGATATATATTTAAGTATGTAAGATTATACAGTATATTAAAAATAAAATGTGTGAAATACATGTTTTTTTTTGCATGTAAGATTAATATGTTAAGCTTATTTTATAATTCTTTTTAAAATTTATTGTAACGATAATAGATAAATTTAAGAAACACAAGATATGTTAGATTATGACGATTTGAAATTAGTATCAATGCAATGGTTTATAACAGGGTCGGATGTATTATCATTTTTAGATGAATTATCGCCATTTTCTAATTTATCTACCGCATTGTTTTGATTTTGCTCCAATGTTGCAAATCGCTTTTTGTTTTCTTTTACTGCCTATTCTAGTTCTATGATTCTAGCATTGAGTTCAGTATATCTTAATCTCATCTTTTTGGCATTTTGTTCTAATTTCATTATTCTGGTCATAAATCCTGCTTCCTTAGCTAAGAATTCAGCCTTCTCCTTTTTAAGTTCAGTATTTTCAGCTACAAGTTTGGAAATCTGTTCTTCTAATAAATTAATTTTGAATTGTGAAATTGTCATTTTTTAATATAATATATGTATATATTCAATTAATCATACAGATAAAAAATCATATGAGCATGAAGATTCTTCATGCAAATGCTGAAAAAAATTTTTAAAAATTCTCGATCATAGGCGAGTTAATATTAATAGATATTGATAGCAATACATTAAAATAAATTCACAAAATACACATGCAAAAGTAAACACAATTATGTATGCAGAATCAAGCCACCAGGGCCAGCTTCATTTGGTTCAGTAAAACTATAGGACGAAGATATTAATCTGAGAATTAATCAATACAACTATCACATTGCTATGTGATGAATTATTAAATAATTTAGAAAATAGATTGGAGAGGATTTGATTAACAAAGTGAGGCATTATCATCCTCCACTCAATCATCATAAAATACTGTATATTAAAAAAATAATTGATCAAATTCCCAATTGTAAGTGAAATATTAATTCATGCTTTATTCCTTCCTCTTTTTTTTTTCTCCATGATTTTACCTATATAGACTAGCTGATTGCTATAATTGGGTTGTAATATATATATTTTGCAGTATTGAAATAAAAAGATAAGTTTTTGTTAGCTTGTAATTTTGTTTATTTCTAATTTTTATTTTTTCCTGTACCCTACAAGAAAGTAATTACCAGCCTTGTAATCAATAACAGATCTATATATTGTAGTAAAGAATCTTGAAGCTTATAAAAACAAGATGAGGTTGCTTTTTTTCACATGCCCCTTAATGCAAAGATAAAATCTTGTAACATCTGTGGAACATAAATACCAAATATAATTATATATATATATCATGTAGAATGCAAATTTTCATAAATATTTGCATATTTGACAAAATTTCAGAATTTTTTTTGATTACAAATAGAGTTCGACAGGGCGGCCCCCCAAAGTCCAGTTATATGTTGGTCAATGGTCCACACCCTGCCAGATACATGATGGTAGATGTTTGACTTCCGCCACAACAATCATTATCATGATTCAAAAAGAGTATGATAAGGACTTCACATATGAAATAAAACAATATGCTGGGAGGGTGTTAATCATCAAAATCATGTATCCGGCAGAGTGTGGATCATTGACTATCATGTAACCGGACTTTGGAGGGGCTGCCCTGTTGAACTCTTACAAATACAAATTTATTCAATGCAGTAATGACCCAAATATAATATTATGGTTGAAATATCCAATAATAAAAAAGAAAATGAGCATCTTTCCCAGAATACAATAATTAAAATGTGAGTTCTTCTTGAGGATCACCCAAGTTCTCGTAAGTTGAAAGTTAACTTGTTACAAGTTTCTGACCTGGAAGATTTTAAAGATGTCCTTAAAGAAAAGATTCAGATGTTAAAAAATGTTGAACCAGATGATATTGTGTTTTTAAACTATGATTATTGTAACATACTTATTCTACCAAACACTCTTCTAAAACCTCTGGCAGACAATATAATGGGTACAAAGCCACTCATTGTATGCTATCTGATATCAGATTCAGGCAGTAAGTATAAATATTTTTTTACTTATATGAAAAACTGCACTAACCATACTATTTGATTTACAGTTTTAGTAAATTTTAGATTTTTGCATAATACTGGTAAATGCCAAATACCCCATTCTAGTGGGGCCTGGAATTTGCTTTGAAAAGAAGTGTAAGAATTATTTGATTCACTTTCAACAGCTGAAATTATTTTTATTGTCACAAGAAATTCAAGTAGTCAAAACAACTTCAAAAAAAAAAATCGAGGATAAATATTCACTTATAAATTTGTTGATCTGAACAAGTCCAAATGAATCAAATGAACATGTCTTAGATCTTAAAATACAAATCAAAAGAAAAAAGGTATTCAGGAATTGGACTTTAAAAGAAGTGGGCAGTGAGATTTATAAAAATACTTTTAACTCTATTGACTCAATACAAAAATTAAACTTAGAAGAATTTTCTGAATTAAATTCATCATTTAATAAAGAGAAGATTGAATACTTTATTAAACAACTTAAAGACAAAGCATTTGCATTTAATAATAAAATTAGCTCAAATAAAGCCATAGTACATAAATACATTTCAATTTTTATGACAACTGCAATTAAACATATTTGAAAATATAAAGATTTGACAACATAATTAAATGTAAAGTCTGAACTTGATGGGTCTCAAGGTTATGGCAATTTGGACTATAAAGTTGTTATACAAGATGTTCCAGTATTGATTAATAAGGCCAAAAAACAAAATATTGAAAAGAGGGTTGCTCAAAATTTGGTACAGATATATATTGCAGCCAAGATAAGGCCTTAAGTAATTGGCATTCATTATTTTTTTTGAAGTTTTTAACATAAAATTAATATTATATCTTGTCAGATCTTGTTAGAGAACTGAAAACATGTTGTACAAGTAGATTCTTTGCCCTCTATGATATTTGGTATAGTAACAATGGGACATATATGGCAATTTATCTGTTGATCTGGTACACTGCAAGATCCAAGATTTAAAATTACTTCTGAAATTGTTTGTAATTACATTGGTAATAATTATCAAGAAGCAAAAAATGTGATAACACATATTGTGTGTTTATTACAGGCACAAATAGATATATTAAAAGATCAAGATGAACAAGATAATAACTGACACAAGACAAATTAGTTTTATTTTATATAATAATTTTACAATTTATAGTAGTAGATGCTTTCCAGAAATTAATAATAAACCATTTTATTATTTGCACCAATGATTTATAATTTTTTGTGCTTAACTTATATTTATTGTTGAGGATGATGCTGAAATTTAGAGTCCCATTTAAATTTATAATACCTACTAAAATTCACATACTTTTTTACTAACAACACTAACCTTAAACCCTAACCTAACCCTAAAAAAAACCCCCTAATGAAAAGGCCAGAAAATTTTTTAAAATTTCATAATAAAATAAGTCAAAATTTCAGCATCATCCCCGACATTTATTAATGCATATCAAAGTATTAAGTTTATCCTCTAAATGTATATTACTTTTTGAATTAACTTTGTTTTTCTTTACATGCAAGTGTTAATAATATATTAACAGAAAAAATTTATTAATAGAATATTAAAAAAATTATTTCAGGATTGGTTTAACATATGGCCTAGTAACCGCATGAACGTGACCTCCAAGATCACAGACACATGATATTATACTTATAATTCAAAAATTGATACAGTATCAGGTTAAATCTCTTATACTATATGTAACCTTGTTCAATTTTTGTTTTTTGTTTATATAGCTGAAATAATCTCATGAATAACTCTTTTTTTTAAAGGCAAAACCCATGTTATTATATATTATGAATAAAATTATATATACAATAACTATACCACAAATCATGAAGTTTTAAGTTAAAAAAAGTTTGCACGTACGTATGTATCAGGTATGTACTAAATCGTCATGATATATTATTATAATACTTTTAATTAATAATATATAAATAATTCTTTAAATCTTTTGTATTGAATTCAAGTTAATAACAGTTGAAAGATATCTATGCTTAATCAAAACCTTTTAGCATACAGTATTATACTATATAAGCTATTACTGTAATTATTAGATGGACACACGTTTGCTAGTCGTAAGCTATTAATATTATAGGGTCTCTCGGGGTATATCGTTATCAGTAGTATATTAATGATATTATTAGGCTACTTATATTTCGTAAAGAGGGATTTACTAGGATCATATTCCGTCATTGCGGCTTGAAATTCATAATATTAAGAGCAGTGAATGTAGGCAAGGTAAAGAACATTTGCTTTTAAACATTTTAGCTACTATAGAATCGAATTTCTTATATGCAAGAGCAATCCGTCGTAATCGCAGCGTCCTAGTTCGTTTAATGATAGTGGATTTGATTTATATTTCTTTTTCAATGAGTGGTGATGTGTAACTTTCAAGTTTATGCTAAATGATATTTAAAATTTTATCAATGTCGCGTTTAACAAATTAGATCGCTTCTAGTTCATGATTCGCAAGCCTACATCGTAGAACTCAAAAATGTTAGGTAGCTAATCTTCCATATTCAAGCTTGCTATGAATTACCGAGAAAAAAGTAATTGTTATTGGCCATGATTGTGTTCCTATATTGTTTGAGAAACAAGGTCAACAAATGTTAGATATCGTAAAGTGACGATATTGATATGTTAATTAAAAGGAGTTTTCTAAAGTAATAGGTGCTATTAAGAAAAGGTAGTTGCCGAAACAACAATTTCAATAGATTTCAGAAAAGGGATTTTTTACTATTTGCTAACGAATATATATATATATTTGTTTGCTGTCCTAAATTACAGATCACTCCATCCTACGTATCAAGGATTTACTTTACGTTTTTCGATAATGGTATTAATAATTTGAGACATTCTATTTTATATATATGTTAGATGTAATTTCAGTAAATTGACGTACGCACGTTAACATACATCATATTTAATAAAACAAAAAAAAAAAAAAGAGAGAGAGTGGAGGCAAATTTATTAGTATTACTTTTTTTTTATACTACGAACAAACTATATCGATTTTTATTTAATCGTTACATTTACATCAATCTTTACTACGCTATTGAAATCTACTTTAATAAGCAATAAACCATTTGATAAAGATAAAACGTTAAGCTAGTACAGAAAATTTCACAACAAACTTAATGGCTTCTACATATACTGTACCTTGGCAAGCACAACCACATCGGAAAGGCAAGAACAGTCTTATTTTCACAATTTGTTTTTATTACAATGGCAACCAGCAACCCTTATTTCTTGTATCTTTATAAGTTTCTCGATTAGATACCTCGTTTGTAATATTTGAAGGGGTTCTATTGGTCACGTTGATTTTGTTGAGTGTCAGCATTTCGTAAAGAGATGAACTTGCCCATTGGAATTATGTCGAGATCTGGAAGTCATTGATCTTAACAGTTCTAATTCATTGCTAGACCTGAATTATTATTATAAAACAATAACGATTTAAATATTTAATATTTACCTTTAACCAAGTATGTCTTAGCCGCCATGTTCTGTAATTTGATGAGTGCGGTATAAAAGTCTTCAATATGACAAACTTGAATGCATAATGATATTTATCTGATTGAACGTCCAATTCTTCGATAACTCCAACTAATTTAAATGTATTAAGAATCAATATTTAAAGCTTGGGTTTTGTGTTTACTTGGCGGGTTTTGTAAAACAAGTTGTACTTTGAATGATCTATTATAGATCTTTCATTTTTTCGATCATTCATATAGTTGTCAATAATTTTTTCAAAGGTTTGAAGAAAAAAAATATCAAAAAACTAATTGAGTATTTGAGCCCATGTTGTAAAGAAAATAACTTTTTTAAAGAAAGCTTTTATATATTTAAAATACTTTATTATACTTGCATTAAAATTTGACGTCGTTATATTTTAATCGGTATAAATTTTAAATTCACGTACAGTACGTACATACGTCAATTTTTAATTGGCAGAAATTTGAAAGCGACGTATATAACAAAAAAATAAAGTCGTTTTTGTAAGAGTTTTTTTGTTATTTATATAATATTTAATGTTTCTTCTATTATCATAAAAAAATTTTACAGTCAGCCCTTTCTATAACGAACTGACATGACAGTTCGAGAAAAAAAAGCAAAGCTCATTATATAAAATTACTATATTTTATTAAAAGCCCATAGGGCATCCATAATTTACGTTAAACCAGTATTGTTATAGGGATCTTAAAGATAATACTATGGTATTATCTTCAAGGTTTCTATTTCTATACAATTATGGATGCCCCATAGCGTTTTTTATAAAGAACTATTATTATCTAAATGCCACCCTAATTGAGGCTAAATGTTTGTTCTAGCAGGTAAGGCTTGTCGGCCGAATAAGGTAAACAAACAAACGCGAAACTCAAACATCCGAAGAACAAGTATGCGTAAGAGAAGGAGGTTAAGAGAGAGGAGTATAAAGACAAATTAGCAGGTGGCTGCAATATGAAGTATTGCATAAAGAAACAAAGCCTTTTTCCTTAACATAATATGGTGTAATTATTATTATAAGCCCCTACCTTGGTATTGATTTCTCGAATTCTTTAAAGATGTAAAATGTCTTTAATCCCTAAACCCCTTAAATTTTCTAGGATAGTAAAAGCTATAAAAGCACTGAGATTCATTCTTGTATGTAAAAGGCATCCTACGGGATTCTAATATTCACTTTACAATAATTTAATAAATCTTAGGATAAATTCCTTTGATTACTTAAATAAATTATCATCACGTCACATCTTATATCATATAAAATCTATATTTTTTTATAAGCACGATCCACCCCGTAACATTATCTAAAACTTTTTTTGCCTTTTTTTCAAGCTCTTGACGGCAATTGCACCAATAAGTGAATGTTGTCTTTTGTTTGCTTAATATAATGCTTTTTATGATAAAAATAAGAGTATCCGTCACCTTTCTCACAGAGCCTTACAATCTTAATCGCTATTAAGTTTGCATGTGATTCATCAATATTTCTAATTTGCCGGTTCGATTTTGCAGATTTATAATTGCATTGAGGTCCATTCGTGCACTCTCTTCTTCCATATTATTCATAGTTCTTTATAAACTACATCTTCGATCTCTTCAGGTTCTATAGCACTTCCTTGCATTTCATGAATATTACTCATATTCTGCCCGTTTTTGCCTTTATTTATACAGATTAAGCATTCGATACATGTTTCTTTATTGGTTTCAAATTCATTAATTTGTTTTATTACGAACATTTTTTTTTTTTTTTGAATTCGATTGGTTGAATAATTGGATTCCATTAAATACTTGGTAAGAAAATTTTAATGACACTTGTTCAATATATAAACAGACATCGTCATTATTAATTCATTATTAACTATTACTACATTGCATCATTAAAATTTCGGTAAGTAATAAAATTCAATTCCGTACGTAACTAATCGTGGTGGTTGTGGTTATGCTAGGTTCGTGTCTCTTATATAATAAGCTGAGTGTCAAACCAATTTCCCAACGTCAAAACCAACCTTTTGTTTATATGTACAAGAAAAGTCACTCCAAAAGCACCGAAAAGCTAAGTATTACCTCATATAAAGCTAAATATATTAACAGAATGAAAAATCAAATTGCGTCAAACGTGCATATAATCTTTTTTGCAATTTAGAAGACTTCAAGCAATAAATTATTAGTCTTTTCGTTGGTTTTATTAATCGTTATTATTACTATTTTTTTATAATTGTTATTACAAGGTAAAATACCGGTACATTATCATATAATAAATTAATAATATTATTACGTATGACTTATAATACTGTATTAAAAAATCGACCTAAGTTATTCTTCAAATGTGAAATTAAAAAATGACCAAAATCGATTAATTGGCAAAATTCGTGATTGATGCAAGACAGTCAGTCATTTTTAATTATAAGAAAATGAGCAATATTGATTTATTTAGCAAAACCAATTTTTTCAAACATTCACCAATTTGAACTGTCATTGGATTCCATTCACAAGAAGTTATACGTATCGTTTAAAACCAAATTGACCTTTAAAGAAGTAATGTTTCTAATGAGACGAATTGGTATTAATAATTGGAAGATAAAATGCAAAATCAAAAGAATTACGTT